AAAAAAAAAAAAAAAAGACAAAATATTAGGCCGGGCCTGGTGGCTCACGCCTGCAGTCCCAGCACTTTGGGAGGCCAAGGTGGGTGGATCACGAGGTCAGGAGGTTGAGACCATCCTGGCCTACATGGTGAAACCCTGTCTCTATAAAAAGAAAAGAAAAGAAAAGAAAATACTAACATTATAATACTAAGTAAAAAAATGTATAGAAAATTGTGCAAACATTATCCAACTGTGTAAAGGATATGTTCAGAAGGAGGAAAATGCAGAAATTAACAGAAATCATAATAATCACCAACATTTTTGAGCACTTTCTTTTTTTTTTTTTTTTGAGATGAAGTCTCACTCTGTCACTCCAGGCTGGAGTGCAATGGCATGGTTTCAGCTCATTGCAACCTCTGCCTCCCAGTTTCAAACAATTCCCATCTCAGCCTCCTGAGTAGCTGGGACTACAGGCATGTGCCACAACACTTGGCTAATTTTTATTTTCAATATTTTATTTTTAGTAGAGACAGGGTTTCACTATTGTAGGCCAGGCTGGTCTTGAGCTCCTGATCTCATGATCCGCCCACCTCAGCCTCACAAAGTGCTGGGATTACAGGTGTGAGCCACCATGCCCAGCCTGAACACTTTCTTTTTTTTTTGAGAGGGGTCTCTCTCTGTCGCCCAGACTGGCGTGCACTGGTGCGATCTTGGCTTACTGCAGCCTTGACCTCCAGTGATCCTCCTTCCTCAGCCTCCCAAGTAGTTGAGACTACAGGTGGGCACCACTACACCTGGCTAAATTGTGTATTTTTTTGTAGAGGCAGGGGTCTTGCTATGTTGCCCAGGCTGGTCCAGAATTCCTGAGCTCAACTGATCTGACTGCTTGGCCTCCCTAGGTGCTGGTATTAGAGACCATACCTGGCCTTTGAGCACTTTTATATGTGCCCTGGGCTAAAAATGTATTTTACCCAGCCCTTACGTGATAGATACTATCATTTCCTGCATTTAATAGATGGAGAAACTGAGGCTCAGGAAGGCAGGTTAAGTCCATGGATGGTTACTTAGCCAGTAAGTAGCTCATTCAAGTCTAGGTCTGTTGAAAGCCAAAGTCCATGTTTTTAAGATGGTCTTTTCTTTTCTTAGCTCCTGATGTTGGTGTTATGATTTTTATTTTTTTGTGTATACTTTCCTGAATTTTCCTAGTTCTCTACACTAGCCATGTATTTACCTATAAAATCAGGATAACTGTGTATATATATTTAAAGGGAAAAATATGTAACAACCACATAGAAACAAGGGGAGAAAGACATTGTATTGAACAAAGCATGTACGTTCAGGTCTGCGAAGGTTCATAAAGAATGTTGTTTGCTATATTTTGTAGTTGCTTCTGTTATCACACAATCAATCTGCATATACAGACATTTTATATATATTTATATAGACTACATATATACATATATTATATAGTAAATTTCTCACTGTCTTTGAGGGCAGGGCCCTGTCTTTTTTCTCTGTGGTTTTGCTTAGATGTCCTCCAACATAACCTTAACATACAGTTAGGCTTTTAGAAATTGTTGATTGAATGATAAGGACGAAAAACCAGTGACCAGAAGACAACCAGAAAAGGCTTTGCTGACCTCCGGGGTGGTGAGGTTGGACGTTCTGGGAAGGCGACTAGGGAGCCGGGTAGGTACGGGGTGAGATGGGATGTGGACAAAGCTTGTGCGGGGGGAAAGCGTTTCTGCGGCTGGAATTTAGCAGTAGGAATGTGTCAGCCGCAGCCCCACCCCTTCCAATTCTTGTCTTGGTTCAGGAAGGTGAACGGGGTCCTGATTCCCCGTGGCGGGGGCCTGTAGTGGGCGCTCTGCCCCGTCCCCGGCTCTGCTGCAGGCCCCGCCCCTCGCCCAGAACCCCTGGGCGCTGGCCGCGGTGCTGAAACGGCGCCCTCCGCCGACGGAGGAGGAGGCGGGGCTCTCGGGAGCTGTGAGCCGGGAAGGGAGAGGGGCAGGGCGGCGCCAGCAGGCCTGAGGCCCTGGCGGGCTTGGGAGGAGGCAGGAGACTGGAGACAGCCTCGGCTGGAGCAGATACAGGCACCTGGCAAACTTCCCTTGACCAAGCCAAGGCTGTCCTTGTCCTGTTAAGCCTCTTCCCCTTGCCTTGGATGGGCCTCACCTGGTGCCTTGACCACAGATTTCTCCCCAAACCCCGCCGGGCGGTGACCTGCTTCTAGGCTTCCATCCACAAAGCCACGGACTTGCAGCCCACAGGACCCCAGCCCAGGGCCTGCTGCCCTCACCATGGTGAAATTGCTGCCGGCCCAGGAGGCAGCCAAGATCTACCATACCAACTATGTGCGGAACGCGCGGGCTGTGGGCGTGATGTGGGGCACGCTCACCATCTGCTTCTCCGTGCTGGTCATGGCCCTCTTCATCCAGCCCTACTGGATCGGCGACAGCGTCAACACACCGCAAGCAGGCTACTTCGGCCTTTTCTCCTACTGCGTGGGTAACGTGCTGTCCTCCGAGCTCATCTGCAAGGGCGGTCCCCTAGACTTCTCCTCCATCCCCTCTAGAGCCTTCAAGACTGCCATGTTCTTTGTGGCCTTGGGCATGTTCCTCATCATTGGCTCCATCATCTGCTTCAGCCTGTTCTTCATCTGCAATACAGCCACAGTCTACAAGATCTGTGCATGGATGCAGCTGGCTGCCGGTAAGCAGGGATGATGGGAGGGCAGGCAGGGGCCCACCTCGGGGCCACAGCTGCAGCTGCACCTTCCCACCCTCTTCCAGGGCTCTGGGCCTTGTATTTAGCCGTTCTCCCGTAGCCCAGTCCTACTCAGTGCTCTACAGAAGATTCTGAGGAGTTGAGAATCTTAGAATGGCAGAGGCAGAAAAGACCTAAGAGATGAAACTGTCCAACGCTCTCATCTTACAGATGAGGTTCTGAGCCCAGAGAGGGGAAGTGACTTGCCCAGGAGCACACAGTTCCTTGTCCTGACTCCAAGGCCATCACATCAGTTTTTGCAGCTGTGAGAGAGAGAAAAAAGGAAGCTTCCATTGTTGGCCATGTGGGAACAGGACCTAACCCCAGCACAAAGTAGTGACCCCAGTCAAGTACATTCTAAATGCCTTCATCTCCCACCTCTGGGCTTTTGTTCTTTTTAAGAGTGCCCAGAACTCTGTCCTCATTTTCTCCCTCCCACCCCAAACTGCTCTCAGATTCTAAGGTCTCTTGTTGATTTTTGAATGTTGCTATTAATGCAGGATATGAACTTGCCTATAAAAACTTTCATCTAAAGTCCCCTCTTTCATTGGGGAGTGAAAGTCTTTGTTCCTTGATTATGGGATTCTACACTTAAGGCAGCAAATGGAGTGATATTTTGTGAGGTGGAGGAAGCTATCTAGGGTCCTGTGTTTTGTTTTGTTTTTGTTTTGTTCTGTTTGTTTTGAGGCAGAGTCTCACTCTTTGGCCCAGGCTGGAGTGCAGTGGCATAATCTCAGCTGACTGCAGCCTCAACCTCCTTGGGCTTAGGTGATCCTCTCACATCGGCCTCCCAAGTAGCTGGGACTCCAGGTGTGCACCACCATGTCTGGCTAATATTTTTGTGTTTTTGTAGAGATGGGGTTTTGTCATGTTGCTCAGGCAAGTCTCAAACTGCTGGGCTCAAGTGATCTGCCCACCTCAGTCTCCCAAAGTGTTGGGATTTCAGGAGTGATCCACAGCACCTGGCCTAGGGTCCTTTAAAACTATGTGGGGGGTGGGCACATCAGCTCACACCTGTAATCCCAACACTTTGGGAGGGAGGATCACTTGAGCTCAGGAGTTTGGGACTAGACTGGGCAAGATGGCAAGACCCTATCTCTGAAAATAATAATAAATAAGACAAAACTGTGTGGTAGGCAGCTACTTGTGCCCTGAGGCAAGACCTCCCTGCCCTTTTTCCTGCTCCTAGCCCCGAAAGGCTTCTTGGTCCTTGTGCCAAGTTGTCTTGCTGTTCTCTGTAGCCCAAGAAGAGGATTAAGACCTTGTGCTGCATCCTCTGGTACCTTGGTCCCTGCCCACCTCAGGGGCCACACACAAACTCTCCATGCTGGTGAGATGTCCAGGAGTGGTGCTGGGGATTGGAAACTAAAGTAAAACCATCTTGACATCATTGGTCAGAGTGAGAAGTGGTGTCATCTTTAAGAGGGGGAATGAGACAGGCATCTAAATCCCAGATCACCAAACACATAGAGTCAAGACTGCAGAGTTGGAGGGGACCCAAGAGATTTATATCCATCTCCCCACTATAGATGAGGAATCTGCTGCTGAGAGAAAGTATCAGACTTGGCCAAGGCTATAGCAGATCAGTGGGCAACTGAGGACCTGAAAGAATTAAGGCAGCAGTTCTCAAGAAACTAGATGTATTTCTAAGATGTTTTTATTGAGCCACATATTTACATAAGTATAATGATTTGTGAAATACTTTTACATGTATTATTTGAAGGGCCTCAGCACAACCTATTGAGGTGGGCATTTCTCCATTGTACAGAGAAGGTTCCTAGTGGGTAACTTGTCTTTGAGCACGCAAGTCAGAAGGGATACACCTTTGATTCCAAATCTTGCACCCAGGCTACTCAAATGGTTTCAGAGCTCCCAGCAAATCTGCTTGCCACCTCTCTCTTCTCTGTAGTCTCTCTGTTTGATAAGGGAGAGGTGGGGGCGGGGTGGGCAGTGGGGAGCAAGGTAAAGGGTGGCCATGTCAAGAATGATGGTGGAGGCAGTCACAGTGGCTCATGCCTGTAGTCCTAGCACTTTGGGTGGCCCAGGAGAGGGGATTGCTTGAGGCCAGAAGCTCAAGACCAGGCCGGGCGCGGTGGCTCACGCCTGTAATCCCAGCACTTTGGGAGGCCGAGGCGGGCGGATCATGAGGTCAAGAGATCGAGACCATTCTGGCCATGGTGGAACCCCGTCTCTACTAAAAATACAAAAAAATTAGCCTGCCGTGGTGGCAGGTGCCTACTTGGGAGGCTGAGGCAGAAGAATCGCTTGAACCCAGGAGGCAGGGGTTGCAGCGAGCCGAGATTGCGCCACTGCGCTCCAGCCTGGTGACAGAGCAAGACTCTGACTCAAAAAAAAAAAAAAAAAAAAAAGAAACAGAAGCTCAAGACCAGCCTGGGCAATACAGTGAGACCCTATCTCTATTTTTAAAAATACACCCACACACACACACACACACACACACGCATATAGTCGATTAAAAATAATAAGGCCAGCCGCGGTGGCTCACGTCTGTAATCCCAGCACTTTGAGAGGGTGAGGTGGGCAGACTGCTTGAGCTCAGGAGTTCGAGACCAGCCTGAGCAACATGGCAAAACCCTGTCTCTACAAAAAATACAAAATTCAGCTGGGTTAATATATATATATTGACACTAAATATATATATATGAACAAAGGGGAAATGAAGATTTATCAGTTTTATGCCAAAGAGGAGTGAAATCTATAAAGAACTATATAAATAAGCTCCTCCTAAAACAATAGAAGGAAGCGTCATACATTGAGGCGGGGAGGTGGGACCCTGATCTTTCCATTTACTGTGCATTTGTTTGACAATGATACGCTTGCCAGCTGTTCTTCCTTATCAGGGTTATGGGCTGCTGGAGACACAACCATCTCTCTCATTCTCAGGGCTGTCTGCACACCCCCCTTTCCCTGAAACATCCCCCAACAGGTGGCATGTGTGAGTAGACAGTGCCAGGAGGGGGAGGGGTTGCCAGGCCATCTGAGTTAGACACTATCTGGGTTGCAGAGCTGGAGACACTGATAGCAGAGGTGGCCAGGTGACATCTTATGCAACATTTACATTGGGGATAGGCAAGAGTGGTGTCACGTTCCATTCTACTGTGCTGTGGAATGGGGAACGAGCTAAAGGGAGAGATGCAGAGTGGGTGGGTCCCACATCCAGCAGCTGGGAGATACATCCATTTATTAGCTACCCTTGCCAAGAAGTCTGAGAGCAGGGAAGGGGCAGGGGCAGACGAGGAGGAGAACTGATGCTTGGAGCAATGTGGGGCTGCAGATTAACAAGATTAATTGGGCTTCTGGGTGCCAGGGGTAGGCTAGGTGTGGTCCCAGCTCCTAGAAACACAGGTAGGCCAAACTACTTGTCTTCTATGAGTCCTGGTAACCTCATGTCTTAGTTTCTACTTAGTTCTATTTAGTCAGGGCTGCCATAACAAATTGCCATATACTAGGGGGCTTAAACAACAGAAATTCATTTCTCACAGTTCTGGAGGCTAGAGGTCTGAGATGTGGGTGCCAGCATGGCATCATCACGAGAGCTCTGCGGAAGGCCTCTTCTGGGCTGTAGACCACTGACTTCTTGATATCCTCATGTGGTGAAAAGAGGGCAACAGGGCTCTCTGGGGTCCCTTTTATTTATTTATTTGCATTGATGATGATTATTATTGAGTGAGGTTCTCAAAAATTATTATTTTTACTCTGGCTGGAATGCATTGGCATGAACATGGCTCACTGTAGCCTCGACCTCCCAGGCTCAAGTAATCCTCCCTCCTCAGCCTCCGAAGTAGCTGGAACTACAGGTGCATGCCACCATACCCAAATTTTTGTATTTTTTGTAGAGATGGGGTTTCACCATGTTGCTCAGGCTGGCCTGGAACTCCTGAGCTCAGGCGATCCGCCTGCCTCAGCCTCCCAAAATGCTGAGATTACAGGCATGAGCCACTACACCCAGCCTTATTATTATTTTTAATTGACAGAATAATTGTACATATTTATGGACTACATACAGTGTGATATTTTCATACATGTATACAAGCGGGACTTGAAATCCAGGTAGCCTGGTCTAGTTGTTTCTCAGCTTTTCCTACTGAGAAAATTAAGGTAATTAGTATATTCATCACCTTAAACATTTATCATTTCTTTGAGTTGACGATTTCAAATTTGCTGTTCCGGCTATTTGGAAATATATGATAGATTGTTGTTGGTTACACTCACCCTACAGTGCTAGAGAACACTAGAGATTACTTCTCCTGTCTAGCTATACTTTTGTATCCACTGACCAGCCTTCAGCTGTCCCCCCGCCGCCTGGGGCCCTCCAATCCTATTCATGAGGGCCCCACCCTCACGACCTAATCACTCCCCAAAGGCCCCACCTAACACCATCCCACTGGAGGTTAGGATTTTAACACAGGAATCCTGGGGGGAACAAACAGTCCACTGTACCCCATCTGTAGAACACAGCAGCAGTGGCCAGGCACAGTGGCTCATGCTTGTAATCCCAGCACTTTGGGAGGCCGAGATGGGCGGGTCACTTGCGGTCAGGAGTTTAAGACCAGCCTGGCCTTGTTGCTGATGAAGGTTATCAGCTGACGTTAAAAAAAAAAAAAAAAAAAAAAAAAAAGCCGGGCGCGGTGGCTCAAGCCTGTAATCCCAGCACTTTGGGAGGCCGAGGCGGGTGGATCACGAGGTCAAGAGATCAAGACCATCCTGGTCAACATGGTGAAACCCCATCTCTACTAAAAATACAAAAAATTAGCTGGGCATGGTGGTGCGTGCCTGCAATCCCAGCTACTCAGGAGGCTGAGGCAGGAGAATTGCCTGAACCCAGGAGGCGGAGGTTGCGGTGAGCCGAGATCGTGCCATTGCACTCCAGCCTGGGTAACATGAGTGAAACTCCGTCTCAAAAAAAAAAAAAAAAAAAAAAAAGACCAGCCTGGCCAACATGGTGAAAACCCAGCTCTACTAAAATACAGAAATTAGCCGGGTGTAGTGGTGCATGCCTGTAATCTCAGCGACTTGGGAGGCTGAGGCAGGAGAATTGCTTGCATCCAGAAGGCAGAGGTTGCAGTGAGCCGAGCTCATGCCATAGTTCTCTAGCCTGGGTGACAGAGTCAGACTCTGACACTCTGACATACACACACACACACACACACTCTCTCTCTCTCTCTCTCTCTCTCTCTCACAGAACATAGCAGCAGTACCTGCTTCAGTGGGGTTCTGTGAAGATGGGATAATAAAATGCATGTAAAACATCTTGCACATGGTAGGTGCTTAGTACCTGTGAAAAACATAAAAAACAACTTTATCAGTTAGCATGGGAAGTGATGCCACGGTAACAAACCACTCCCACATCTTGGTGGCTTAGAACAAAGATTTATGTATTTCTTATGATCCGTGCTGACTGGGGATTTGTGGGGGCTCTGCTCTCGCTACTCTCTCCTGGGACCCTTGCTAGGAGCATCAGCCACCATCATTGTCCTTGCATCAGAGGGAAGGGAGTTCTGGGAGGTCTCCCACTGCAGCTAAGCGATGTGGTCCACACATCTCTGCTCACATGTCATTGGCCAGAGGAAGGCAGATGGCCTCACTTAACCTTAAGAGAGTGGGGCAAGGAAGCACAAACTTACCTTGTACCTGGAATATTCGTGAGCAGCTCTAATGGCATCCATGTCACTGAGGCGGCTTCTGTCCGACTCCAATGTCAATAACAATAGCAGTGACCACGTACCATGTACAAGACAATGTAGGAAGTGTTTTCTGTAAATGATCACACTTAATCCTTACAGTGCTATGAGTCAGGTACTTTGCAGACAACAGGATGGAAGTCAGAGGGTAACTAACCCGGCCTGAGAACACTGTGCTGGCTTCTACTTAGAGCCTTGAGACACCACAACTGGGGCAGACACCCACTGTCCCCAGAACCAGGTGGGGTGCTCGCAGGGCACTCACACCCTCTTTCCAAGTCAAAAGCCCTGGGCTCTTTTCTGGAGCCCTCACAGGAAGATGGTGCAGGAGGGGAGGGGCCAAGGGAGGAAGTGATGGAGAGAATGCAAAACCTGGAAGGGCAGGTCCTTCCCACCTTCACCTCTGCCCTGTAAGCCAGGGGCCCTGCCAGGCACCGGAGGGCTGGCCTCACCAAGTGGGGAAGGCCTGGCTACATAGGTTTTGCCACGGAGCTGTGGATGGCTCCCACTCCTCCACCGTAGGTATCTTCCTGAACACTTAGTTTATCACTGAACACTTAGGAGGTCTGAAATGTCACCAATAATTACATTCAGCCCCTTGGAGAGATGTCATCTTCTGAGGGTGGAAGGAATAAACTTTGAAGTCAGGAAAGTCAGGAATGGAGAATTCAGGCATTGGCTCTGGCATAGCTGGGTGATTGGATGGCTGGCAAGTCACTCGGTTTCTCTGAGTCCTCAGTTTTCTAATCTGTAAAATGAGGATATTAATAAGCAGCCCACTTCACAGAACTGTAGTCACGGTCAAGATGGTACATGAAGTATTTTGTGATCTATAAAGAACTATATAAATCAACTTCTTCTAAAACAATCAAAGGAAGCGTAATACATTTAGGTGGGGAGGTGGGACCCTGATCTTTCCATTGACTGTGTATTTGTTTGACCTCCTGACCTTTGCAGAACCAGTTGGGTCCAGGGAAGGTAACTTTTGGTCTGAAGAGGTGCTTCTCTGAGGGGCTCCTGAGTGGGGTACTAGAGAGCCTCCAGACCTGCAGGAAAGTGGCACAGCCAAGGGGAGCACCCCCTGCCCGAGGGGCAGCTGTGCCTGGGGCTGCCCCAGTTGCATCCTGGATTATGTCACCTGTCTGTGCTTCATCCCAGTAAAGCTAAGGTGGGGGATAGTTTGATGGAAGGGGATGGAGGAATTGGGGGGAAAGTGGGGACAACAGAATTTTTAGCTGTAAATACTAAGTCAAGGAAGGCACAGGGTGGGATCATAACTCTCATAGTCAACTCTCATGGAGTACCAAGTCTGTGTTAGGCACTGTTCTAAGCTCTTTTCCAGTACTAACTCATTTGAACCTCACTGTAACCTCAACAGGAAGACTGGGGCTATTATCATCTCCATTTTATAGATGAGGAAACTGAGACAAAGAAAGCTTAAGTATGGCTGGGGGCGGTGGCTCATGCCTGTAACTGCAGTACTTTGGGAGGCCGAGGCGGCGAATCACGAGGTCAAGAGATCGAGACCATCCTGGCTAACATGGTGAAACCATGTCTCTACTAAAATTAGCCGGATATGGTGGTACGCGACTATAGTCCCAGCTACTCCAGAGGCTGAGGCAGGAGAATTGCTTGAACCCAGGAGGTAGAGGTTGCAGTGAGCCAAGATCCCACCATTGCACGCCAGCCTGGGTGACAAAGCGGGAGTCTGTCTCACAAAAAAANAACGGCAACAAGAGCCCAGAACTCAGGTCCTCTCTGGCCAAGCCCGGGGCCCACTTCTTCATAAGGAAGTGATGGAAAACACTTCATCCTTCTTTGGGGATGGGAAAAGGATAATCACCTGTTATGTGGTTAAAGATGAAAACAAATTACTAGAAAGAGCTGTGCCAAGGAGGAGAGAAGAGGGAGATTTCTTCCCAACACAGTAGCGTAGAGGGAAACGCCTGGGGCTTGGATCCCTTGAGGATTCTGTAAAGGGAAGAAAAAATGAATGAGTAGGGCAGGGTACAGAGAGGCTGATGTCTGTAATCTCAGCACTGTGGGAGGCCGAGGCGGGCAGATAACTTGAGGTCAGGAGTTTGAGACCAGCCTGGCCAACATGGTGCATCCCCATCTCTACCAAAAATACAAAAATTTGCTAGGTGTGGTGGCGCACACCTGTAGTCCCAGCTACTCAGGAAACTGAGGCAGAAGAATTGCTTGAACCCGAGAAGCGGAGGTTGCAGTGAGCCAAGATCCCACCATTGCACGCCAGCCTGGGTGACAAAGCGGGAGTCTGTCTCACAAAAAAAAAAAAAAAAAAAGAGAAAGCTTAAGCTGCTTGCTCTGAGTCACATAGCTAGGTAGCAGCGAGCTGGGCTTGAAATCCAGGCAGCTTAGTCTAGTGTTTCCCCACTTTTCCTACTGAGAAAATCACCTGGAAGAGTGCTTTTGAAGACAGGGATTATTGAACCCAACCATGACCTAGGGACCAGCATTTTACCTTATATTTCTGTGCACAGGTCATATGCAAAGGAGCCAGCATTAAAGATTCAGGGACGTGTGGCAACTGCACATGCTCTGCTGGGTAAGGGTGAGGAGGAAACCTGCTTGCTCCAGTGGAAGGCTTTTGAAGGAAGCAGCCAGGGAGGCTGGAAAGCCTTCCTGTATTCATCAAATCTAAGATACCTCAGTTGTAGGACACATTGTTATTCTATGTACTATAAAAACAAAAACAACTGGAATTCAGTTTGTGACAAAATATTTAAAACAACAAAACAAAAAACAAAAACAAAAAATACTGATAATCTGACCATGGCCTGACACTTTATTACACGTATTTCAGAGATGTTGTAAGTATGAAAAAGAAATGTGCATCTTAGCACCGATGAGTTCTTTAGGCTGGGATCAGATACTGGAGGGCTTTGAAGCCAGGGTAGGTGGTGCCTTGTTGAGCCCAAGGTGAGGAGAACGGCTGAGGGCCTGGCAGGGCCACCTGGTTTGGTGGCAGAGCCCACCTGGGCTGAGGAGCTCAGTTTTCTGCCTCCGCCCAGGCCGCTGGGTCTCAAGGGCCAGTTGCTTTAGCCCTCAGAGCCTCCGTTTTCTCACCTGTGTTTTGTAAGAAGGGTGGTAGAGGCTGCCTCTCCTGCCTCCTGAGGCTGTTAACAGAAGGAGAAGGGAGGTGACAACATAACAGCCGGGCAAGGTGGGAGGTAGTGGGCTGGGCACAACTAGTCTGATGCCATCTGCACAACTAGTCTGATCCTCTCCTCCCCCCTCAGCCACAGGCCTAATGATTGGCTGCCTGGTCTACCCTGACGGCTGGGACTCAAGTGAGGTGCGGCGCATGTGTGGGGAGCAGACGGGCAAGTACACGCTGGGCCACTGCACCATCCGCTGGGCCTTCATGCTGGCCATCCTCAGCATTGGCGATGCCCTCATCCTCTCCTTCCTGGCCTTCGTGTTGGGCTACCGGCAGGACAAACTCCTCCCTGATGACTACAAGGCAGATGGAACCGGTAATACCCACCCCCCAACTCCACAACAGTGTCCCCTGCCTGGAGAACCTAGGGTGTGTGTGGGGTTCATCTTAGCCAGTCTTCTGGGGCTTGGCCCCTGGCCAAGGGATGGGGACACCAAGACTGATCGGACACAGCCCTTGTCCTCCCTGAAGCCAAAGGCCAGTGGAGGGGTGCAAGCTAGCAGGCGACAAGGCAATCTGTGATAGAGGAGTGTCCCCCTCACCCTTCTACACTCCCAGAGGCTATAGGGGAGAGAGACCCAATCCAGACTTGGGGGCTAAGTGTGGTCTCCCCTAGAAGGAGGCACTGAGGCTGGATCTCGAAGTATAAATCCTGGGAGTTTGCTCCGTGGAGAGGGAAACAACAGGGGGATGAGTTGCTGGGGAAGGAGGAGAAAGGCAGAGACCTTGAGGACAACCCAATGAGGGTGAAGAAGTGACAGTTCCTGGAGTGCAGATGGCGGGAGCCCTAGATCCCTGGAGGAATGGCAGCCTTGGGGTTCTCGTAATGTCTGTCCTGTTTCAGTTCCCTCCCATCCAAATCCTACCTAACAGTAATAAAAGTCAGCTGTGGCTGACCCTCCGGGCCCAAGTGGACCCTCCAGGAAGCCCTCCCTGACTGCTTCCCATTCCCTCCTTCCTAGGGTGCTTTCCATTCCTGTTTCTCATCGAACTCTTCCTCTGCCAGTTTTGAGGGGTTAACTTTTTCAGAGGATAGACTTCTTCCCCAAGTCAGAGGGCAAGGCCTGTCTTGCACCCCTGTGAATCCCCAAATGCCTGGTCTCAGCAGGTGGCCATCACTGGGACCTGTTACAACTCAGGGACCTCTCCGGTCTTTTCCTCATAGCTGTTTTCACATTGGCCCTTGGACTAGAAGCAGCAGCCAAACTCTTCTGTCCACCATAACCAAGGACTTTTCCCACATGAGGAACTTGAAGCCCAGAAAGGAGAGTCACTCAGAAGTTCCCAGAAATGGCCGGGTGCAGTGGCTCACGCCTGTAACCCCAGGACTTTGGGAGGCCGAGGCAGGTGGATCACGAGGTCAAGAGATCGAGACCATCCTGGCCAAATGGTGAAACCCCGTCTCTAAAAATACAAAAATTAGCCGGGTATTTGGCACGTGCCTGTAGTCCCAGCTACTTGGGAGGCTGAGGCGGAAGAATCACTTGAACCTGGGAGTCGGAGGTTGCAGTGAGCTGAGACTGTGAGCCTGGCAACAGAACAAGACTCTGTCTCAAAAAAAAAAAAAAAAAAAAAAAAAAAAAAAAAAGTTCCCAGAACGGCAACAAGAGCCCAGAACTCAGGTCCTCTCTGGCCAAGCCCGGGGCCCA